AAGATGAATCTTTTTCAAAATAAAGACAAATTATAGAATATGGAAGAGTTAGGTCAGGGTTACATTACTTTTTTTTTTATCTCAGAATTCTGAATTTTGACTGAATCCTGACTTTAACTCAGATCTCAAATATGGATCCACCAATTACAAAAAAGAAATAAAATATAAATGACCACACAGTTTTTTTTTTCCGAATATATATCCACATACAAGACTATAAATAACTGTATAACTATATAACTGTTGTAGCAAACCAGAAAAAGGTGAAAGCATTTTCCCCTCCTTCCCCAGTTGTTTGTTGGACACAGCAGGAGCACAGCTGGATCTGTCAGATCACACACAGATCAGACGGCTGCCTCTGTTTCCTCTATGAAATAATAACACAGGACAGATCAGAGGTGTGGTGTGAGTCAATAGCGTGAGAGCTGCAGGATGTACTCAAACACGTAGCCTAAAAAAATAGGGATTATATTCAACAATAGCACTGTACAGTAGATTGAAAACATTTGGGCGGGATTTTGTGACTCCATATTTTGGTCATTTCCAGTGGGAAACAGGTACATGTTATGTATTGTAGAACAACTTTAAGCTACTTACACTGTAATGTTCGTGTTATATTACTTTACTTCTGATCCATTACAATTTAGAGAAACTTTTTTTTTCTTAGTCCTTACATAACTTTTAACCATTTTCATTTTTCAGATTGAGATTAATAATGCACAACGTATTAAATAAATCAATGATACTATTAGGGATAAATCACTTTTTTGATTATTAGTAATTCTACACCAGCTTGATTTACAGTATGCTTTATTGTATTCTCTTTGCTTTTTAATGACCTTTTTTAAATGCCATTTAATAATAAATGGACATTTTATTTATTGGGATAAACCCCTTGAGATGCACCATCTCGTTTTCAAGGGGGTCCCGACAATAGCAACAACTTACAGACATACATAAACAAGAAGATAAAAACCAAAACATGACACACAAGACAAACCACGTGCAGCAAAATTCAAGTAATGCATACAATCATTACAATTTGAGAGACAGTCGAGCAAATCAGTTTCATCAATAACAAGTGCAGAGCAGTTGAAAGTGAGATGATAATGCAATGTGTTTCTATTGCACTATTTCTGCTCTTAATGTTTTTCGTTTTTGTAAAGCACTTTGAATTGCCTTGTGTTGAAAGGTGCTCTATAAATGAACTTGCCTTGATCCCTTGGTGAAATTCACAAGCTTTGGTCCTTCCACATCACAGGCATTCAGTGTTGGAATATAACAAAGTACATTTACTCAAGTACTTGTACTTTACCTGAGGATTTCCATATACTTTAGACTTCTCTCCACTGTCAGTTTGAAGCAATATTGTACATTTACTGCCACCTACATTTATGGCTGGACAGTCTTTTTTACTTGTACAGGATTGTACAGAGTGAATTATTCGAAGTGATAGAACAGTTCTGAAACGCACTAAATAAACCAACATATAATAACATAGTGAATTATATAAAAGAGTACCAGACAGAATAAATATTTTAAATTAATGTGAACTACCTGATGAGTTGAATTCGAAACGTGCGTTTACGTATGAAAAACAAGCACTTGTTGAAGCAACTGTTAGCTGTGAGATTTACAAGCGTGATTCTATTTTACTTACGTAAAGGATTCTGAAGTACTTCTTCCACCACTGCACACAGCTTTGTTTTGGTCGAATGGTGGTAAACTTTACTCGAGTACATTACTCAAGTACTGTACTAAAGTACAGGTTGTAGATATTGTAGTTACGAACATTCAATTTGATGCTAGCTACTTGTACGTTCTACGCACTACAAGTGCAGGAGGTCAATCGGTGTACCTTTTTCCACTACATTTATTTGTTACATTTAGTTACTTTACCAGATTGGTTAATGATGTGAAATATAACTCAAGTGTTACAATCAGCTTTAGTTCCACCTGGAGTCAACTTCACAAGCTACCCTGCAGTATACAAAGTCATCAAACTAGCTGCACCTTTACCAGCTTTGATCAACACTTTAAGAGATCAAAATTAAAATGACTACTTTTGACTTTGGTACTTTAAGTAATATTGGAGATGCTCAATACTATTTGTACTGTTTACTGTGAGTAAACATTTTAAATGGCAGGACTTTTACTTGAAACAGAGTATTCCTACACTCTGGTACTTCTACTTTTACAACTTGTTTTTACTGTGTACAACCATCTGAGTACTTCTCCACTGCAGGTGTAATAGAATGGCGTCGTTTTACTTGGAAGAACCCTCTCTTTCCTGTATCCACACTGGTTAATGGTGGCTGTTGACCGCGCACGTCTGCGTGAAAGCTGTACGGTCGCCTTGTCGAGTCAATCGCCAGAGAAGAGCAGAGAGCAGCGAGCACGCCGTCCCCATGGCTTGAAACGGGGAAATAACTGTGGACCACCAGTGGATTATTGCGGCCACACGAGACCTAGAGGGTGCGAAACGACGTGGCAGGAGCGGGGGCTATGTTATACGGAATGGAATGTTAGCATCTTTGGTTTGGCCTTTCGGTCGCGTTGCATACCCGGACAGAGACAACACAGACAGAAAATAAGTACCAGAGCCGCCGCGCACCACCGAGCGAACTTGGCTTCTCTTTCCCGGTGGAGGTGTCTGTCTGTCGGCTACGGCTCGCTGCACCAAACCGCTTCTCGCCCACGCTGTTTCGGACTTTCTCTTAGAAGGACACGGTTGTAACTAAGTTATGTTTTTGCTAAATAGCTTATTTTTTGGCCTTTTTTGACACCAACTGTGGCTTTAATGTGACGCCACGCTTCGCTGTCGCGGGGTTATACTGACATTAGTGGCTTGTGTGGGCGGACCCCCCTTCAGGGAAGGGTTCCAGGCTTTAAAGTCAAGTTTTCACCTTCATATTTCTCTGGTTCCCGACAGCTCACCAATGGAATAGGTAAAGGGGACACTTTTCAGTTTTATTATTATGGTTTATAAAACATCGTGACCTGGCTGTTGCCTGTGTGGTTTTTAGCTGCAGAGCCTAGTTTTCTGAGTTCTCTGCCGGCAGCAGTGAAGCCCACGCGCTCTGGCGCTCGCTCTCCTGCGACAGCTCGCGACTCATTGGCTCGAGTCTTTCAGTAGTACAGTTAGTAATTGCAGACATTATTTAAACCCACTTTTTCTTCTCACACAACTCATTGAGAGATATTCTTGTCATATTGACTTTATTTAAAAATCAGTTCCGTAACGACCTCATGGCTTTGCCCGGGACTTTTAATTGCTCCTGTCTCACTATACAGGATGAACAGCTTTTCTTCTCATTACGTTTTTAATTAGCCCAACATAACGAATAGACGACTGTTGGCATGACCTAGTGATTGCTTAACAAATCCATGATATTCTTATTGATTTCATGCTTTTAAATGCTAGCCCATCTACTCCTATCTTAAACGGGAATTGACAATGTCTTACCCCATTTTGGGCCCATTTTGAATGTTCTATATGTGCATTATATGTTGCAGAGAGCTTGTTAATTAGACCGATCAGTACAAATACAATTACCAGGTAAAAGTTTTTATTATGCAGGCCAATATGATGACCTCTTATACAAGTAATTTAAAATTCATTATTTATTATTTTTTTCACTATAATTTATTTTACACAAAAAAGCGTACTTTCAAGAACTACTCTGATTGTCAGAGCAACACACCTGTGTTAACTAAAGCGCTACTACAGTACAGTTAACTTCACGCGAACATTTTCATTATCTTACCTCAATTTAATTTTTATTACACAACTTTAAGTCATCTTCTGTTGCTGCTGTAAAACTGTCCATCTCTGTTCTGTTTTCTGGCAGCCCTATGTCGTGTACTCAGTAAGAAGGAAGACCCTACCAACACCCCTAGCTGTTGTTGAAACACTGTAAAAAACATTCGTTCGAAATAACTAGCAGTGTGATCAAAACAAGACAAGGCGATGTTTTTCAGCAGTAATAACGGGTTGAATACCATGACTTCTCTTAACACCTGACAGCATGGGTCATTAAACTAAACAATCTAAACGGGCATGTATAATCCAGACATTAGTCTTCTTATTTTAAAACAGCAGAAAACAAGCCTTAAGGCACATACCTACTGTAGAGCCTCTTGTGAGTGCTACATCCTTCAGCCAATTCCCCTAATTGAAAGGCAATTGAGTAGTGCTTGTGGAGGCCAAATAATCCCTAGGTTGCCGTGATTTTCTCCAAATAAGAAACCCAGGGCTCATTTAAACCTGTGCAATTAAAAGCCTCCTTAACAACAATGGTATCTGTCATTTTTGTATGTGGCTGCATCACTTTCACCAATTTAACATGATTTATTTGGGCTGTCGATGCAGCCTTACCTTCTATTAAGGTGGTGATTGCATGTATTTGTATTTATGTTTAAAGCTTTTTTTTGCAGTTAAAGCACGCAATATAGTCTGATGCAATTGCTCGGTTCAGTTTAAAACCCCATAATAGACAGATTTAATATAGCGGGGTGGAATGTCACGTATTGTGATTGTGCATATTTATTTGTGTCGATAATAACATTTACATGTAATAAATGTTTTTTAGACAGGAATTAACGTACACATTCAATAATGTCTCCATCATCACAAGCAGCTTGCTGTGTCCTCGCCAGTGCCACTCTGATAAAGAGTGGTATCTTTGAGGATGTCTTATGTAAGGCTGAATGGTTAACCGTTCTTACCACTATACTCAGTTTTCTGTAATGCAATCTGCAGAGTAATGATTACTTGTGCACGTCCCTCAGACATGCATCCAGGTTCTGTTTAGTAATGCGTACCTCTGCTCACTCTTTGTGCCCCCTCCCCTCTCATGCTTAGCTGGCTGAATTGCACCGAGGAACCTGTGTGAGGTCACCCAGTGGGGTGACTTTGGGCTAAATTTGAGAGCGCTGGGAGCACATTAAGGCGCACGCACGCTCTGGACTGCACATCACTCCAGCTGAATTACTCTCACAGGGGCAGCGCTGTCGGAGGGAGAGAGTGGTGGATCGTAATCTCGGATGGGGTGGATAACGAGGGTCGGCAAGTTGTTCATAGTGGGCGGAGAAAAAGTTCGTTCTTGACTCATCCAGTATTGCTACTTGCGCATCCAGAATGTAAAGAACATCCGAAATGGGTGACATATCTGATTTAGTGTTTGGATTAAAACTGTCAATTTGTTCAATTTTGGCTGACTGTTCATTTCGCCACCCTGCCTCCCCAGTCGGCTCATACTGCTGACTCTGGGCCAATTGGTGATCGAAATGTCACAGTAACTGGCGCTGTTTATATTCTACCAGCCAATTCTGAGGGGAAACCAAGTATCATTTAGAAGTCGCTTTCAAAGATTTTTGGGGCCGGGCCAAGTTAGTTCAAGTGGAAAGCACATGTTGCCCTTTGTAATGTATGGTCAGAGGTATTAAAGAAAATATAGTTTCATCTATAGCAGCTCACCGTCACTTCTCTCTTCTTTTTTATTTTCAGTGACAAGGGCGAAGCAGATCAGGCTGGTCCAGGCTGCGGCCAGGCGTAGGCCTACCTAGCCTTCTCGTCTGGCCTCAGACCAGACGGCCAGCGACCTCTACACGTCCATCCTCAACGATCTGTGGATGTCTTCGCCTGTTCTGACGACCCTTCAGCCGTTGATAACAGATTGGATTCCAACCATCTTTTGTCTTTATCAGTCCTCTGAGGGCCATAGTGGTCTGTTTCTATCTCCAGTCCTTTCCATGTCGTGGATGTCCCTCTCTAGGATCGTTGGAAACAGGATGTGATTCGCGTGTTCATTTGGACGGTTGTCACCTCATTGCAGTGCTTGCACCCCCCTCCTCTTGACTGGGCTTTGACTTTTTCCCTCCCAATTCTCTAAGCGAATCCCTGCCTCTCTCTTGGGGGTTTCCCGGAGCCCTGTACAGGGAGGGCCTTGTTGGAGACGTGTAGGTTGTTTTGTTGAAACAGTTGGGACGATTACAAAGAGGAGAAAGCAGATTTACCCTCCCTTTTTCTTTCTTTCCTGCGGGTGGTTTATTATTGACGGTTGGAGAGCCTTTTTCATCTTCACAAAAGAAGCTTGGCTAGCAGAGATTTTGTGCCTGCAGTTACACACGGTGGTACACTAGGTTTTATTTATAAGTACAGAATTCTTCTTTTTTTTTGTGGTCTTAGCCTGGAGAGGAATGTCTGAAGCAGCAGTGAG